ACATGTGATGAAGAAATGAACTAAAGTAACAGAGGAGGACCATTAATCAAAAAACATCTAAAAAAAGACATGTATCTAAGCACGTTGCTAACAAACAAATAAGTTGCAAGATATTAGTGCCATTAAGTAATGATAAAATAGTGAGGCTATAAATGAACAAAAGTAATAAATCAAACAAAGAACAAATATTAATGACATTGAAGGAAAGTAAACAGAAAGTATTAACAGTACCCGAACCAGTCCAAATACTGCTTTAACTGTTAGGTATAAAAAAAATAGGTATTCTCTTGATTATACGAAGTAGAGAGAAAACAAAAATCAGGTGAAAGGTATAGATAAAAATGAAACATAAAAAGGAAAAAAGAAAAGGAACAGGGTAGCAGGAAAAAAAAAAAGGAAGGAAAGAAAAAAAGAGAAAAAAAAAAAGGAAAAGAGAAAGAAATACAAAAAGAAAGGATGCAGAAGGGAGAAGAAAAACAAACAAAAAACAGGAGACATAAAGATATTGAGAAGTACATCATACACAATGAAAGATACCTGCTTCGGCAATAGATAATTCAAATTACATAACTCAAAGTTAAAAGACAAAACAAATATCAAAAGAAGATAAAATAACATATTATATCAATAAATAAATTTCAATTCAAATGATGAGAGTAAAAATATTAGGGATTTGTAATGACAAAAAATAATGAGAAAAATATCATAGGCAAAGAAAGGCGGACCTCAGTGCTAAAGAGGCTCCCGTACTATGACAGGCTCGGGAAAAAGCTCAATCTCATATGTACACGGCCCTACCCCTCGAAGGAGAGGCCGTTTTCGGGATTCGAACCTTGGACCCGGGTGCAAACGCAAGCGCTCCCACCACGGTGCATAGGCAAAGAAAACAGAAAAAAAAAAAAAAAAAATAAAAAAAACAGCATTTAGTATTGTAAAAAGGAAACTAATACACACACGTACAAATAAGTCTTGAATTAAAGAGTGATCCCAACAAAATACAAAGATTAGAATAAGAAACAATTAAAAAAGGGAACAATCAAAGATTCTGAATAAGAGAGAATAAAAAAAACAACACAAAATAAAAATAATACATCAACAGTAATTTTTGGATAAATCATATCAAACTAAACATAGCAAGATTAATCTTGCTCATCATTATCATAAGAGGTGAAGAAAAAAGAGTGATTTTTTGATAAATCATATCAAACTCAACATGGCAAGATTAATCTTGCTCATCATTATCATAAGAGGTGAAGAAAAAAGAGAAAAAAAGAAGGAAAAGAAGGGGAAGGGAGCGAGGAGAGAAAGGAATAGGAAACGGACACAGACAAAAAAAAAGGAACAGGGAAAAAATGAAGACTAAAGCTAAAACATTTTTAATTATTACATATATCTAAGCATGTTACTAAGAAACGAATAAAGTGTAAGTAAATCTGTTAATGCCATTAAAAAATAAAAAAATAATGAAGTCGTAGATCAACAAAAATCCTAAAGTAAAGAAACAACAGACATTAATAACATTAGGAAAAGGTAAGTAAAAGCTATTAATCATAACGTTGTAAACACTGCTGTAGGTGTAAGATATGGACCAACCAGAAATGAGCACAGAGTGTCAATGGTAGAAGGATAAGTAAAGAAAGTAGTAAATACTAAACGATAAGATGAAGCAGTCAAGGATCACGGGTAAAAAAACAGCAAATATGAGAAGTCAAAGGCACAAAAATAGAGAAGCAATGCAGCAAATGAGGAGCAACAGAGTGAAACAGTAGATGGTGAAGAATAGAACGGAACGGAAAAAAAGAACAGGTATAGGGAAAGCAGGTAGAAACGTGTATCACCAATCTGTCCAAGCAGCAACATTGGTAAATAATGAATGAAAAAGTCAGCATGCTAGTAAAATGACACGTAGTAATGCATATTCAGTTCAGAACAATTAAAAGACCAAGATTTCTTAATTACTAAGCCGTAGGAACAATTTTAAAATTATATCCTCAGAAATAGCAAAAATCAGAAGCAAGAAAAATCAGAAGACAAAAAAATAGGAAAATATTTTTTTCCTCTAAATTGCCCGAGATTCTAGATGATGCAGGATAAGAATGGCTCAGATCGCAGAAAATACAAAAAAAAAAAAAAATATCACTGATTCATTTAATAACTCTGTAACAAAAGCAGAACAAATCATCAACCTAAAAAAGTAAAGGACAACTATAGGCAGTCCACATCATGAACACAATAAATGAAGGAAAAAAAACCAAAAATTACCCATACGCGGCATTGAATTAGTGAAGAGGAAATCCACCGGCGCAAATACAGTACCTGCAGAAATAAGTTCATCAAAGGAGAGGATAAGGAACCCGCCAAAAATTTGAACCTGAATCTAAACATTAAAAAGGAAAATACCACATGAAAGAAACCTGTAAAGGAAAAAACCGGGGGAAAAAAAGAGGAAAAATTTAAAACAAACGAACAAAGAAGCAAGAATCAAAAATCAAAGGGCCTGTTTGTTTGCGTTTTCATTTTCGTTTTTTACGATTTTCAAAATAAAAAAATGAAAACGGGTGTTAAAAACGTATTTGGTACAATTTTTTTTAAAAAACAAAACCAAAAACGTTTTTATTTTTTTGTGAAAATCAAAAAACGAAAAAAAAATGTTTTCATTTTCTCATTTTCGTTTTTTGTTTTCTGAAAAACGGATTTCACTTTTTTTTTTTTTTTTTCATTTTCTTTCCTCTTTTCTGAAATCGTTTTTTATCATATATGTTTATTTAATATATTTATTTAATATATTATTACATATTTTTAAAAATTAAACCACCAAACACAGTTTCAGTTTTTTTAAAAACTGAAATCAATCTCTAAATAAAATTACCAAACGCATTTTTAAAAATAATTTAAAAATAAAACTAAAAATGTTTTCATTTTCTCATTTTCGTTTTTTGTTTTCTGAAAAACGGATTTCCCTTTTTTTTTTTTTTTTCATTTTCTTTCCTCTTTTCTGAAATCGTTTTTTATCATATATGTTTATTTAATATATTTATTTAATATATTATTACATATTTTTAAAAATTAAACCACCAAACACAGTTTCAGTTTTTTTAAAAACTGAAATCAATCTCTAAATAAAATTACCAAACGCATTTTTAAAAATAATTTAAAAATAAAACTAAAAATGTTTTCATTTTTATTTTTATACAGAAAATAAAAACGTTTTAGAATCAATTCTAAACGCACCCAAAGAGGCGCAGACGGAAACGAAGGAAAAATAAAGCATGAACTGCGAACGGAAACAATGGAAGAATCCAAAAGAAAAGAGGAATAAAATCCCCAAACTTCCATTAAGAACATGAATTCAGCAAAAGACAAAAAGTAACATGAACAACAAAAAAAGAAGACTTCAATGACTTCCATAAAGAAGAGTCGATAAAGATAAAATAAAAAACAATAAAAAGGAGATTTGATACATATGAATTCAGCAAAAGACAAAAAGTAGGGGAAAAAATAAAAGAGTAAGAATGGAAACTTACGTGGCTTTTTCGTTGAAACTGACTGGTTCTTCTGCCATTAATGGTTTGTGATATTCGAGATTTAGATAGAATCAGAAACGTCATGATACTGTAAATTTTAATTTAGATTTTGAAAGTAGTTTAGGGGTATATTAGTAAAATAAGTGTTAAATTAGTAGTAATGAATTAGCATATGAGATGAAATTACACATCACATAACATGTAGGTTGATACTCAAAAATTGATTTTTGAGTTGCTGTTTTTAGCATTATTGAAAATAATTAGATGAAAAATGTTAACTATTGGTTGTTTAAATGTTCTAGATCTTTTTTTAATATTTTTATTCCTTTTTTAATGGAAGATATCTTTTTTTTAAAAAAAAAAATGTTCAGTAATCTTGTTTTTGTTTTCTATTTTTTAAAATTATTGTGTGTTTTTATTTAAAATTGGAGAAAAATTCTCAAAATGATCTACCTACTACTTAATTTAAAGGTTTCATCCAAAAATTTAACATACGAATCATTCATAAAAATAATTTTTAAGTCAGAAACACATTTTAAGGTAAATTAAGAGAAATCTTGACAAATATCTTTTAAAGTATATGTGTCTTAATTTTTATCTCTTACTCTTGATGAATATCTTTTTTAGTCAAATAAAATGAATAAAAGATACTAATGAATAGTGAGTAATAAAAATCTAGACTCGTGCACTTTTAAAAATAAGTTTAATAATTTTCTTATAAAATTAATTAGAGGGACTAATTCTATAAATTGAAAAGAATTCAAGGACTACTCGTGATGATTTTAGTACTTAGTTTGTGTTTTTATTCATCAATTAGTGTCCTAATTAAATATCATAAATTAATAGTTGATAGTGTTAGAGCATTATCAATGTAGCATCAATGTCAAATTTAGTATTTAAATAAATATTCTTTAATGAAATCTTTTTTTCTTTTTTAAATGTATTGATCAGGTGGAAAGTGAAAGACCCAGACGCAAGCATTGAGAAGTGGGCAATGTTTTCAAGACTAAAAAGTGGATGCCCGGTGATTGTGAAGCTGTAAACGGTGCAGAATTAAAGTTGGGTCTCAGATTTTATTTTATTGTCTCTTTTATTGATACGGTGATACTAATTGTAAAAATATATTAAAATAGTGTTAAAATTAATAATTATTTATTCAGAAGTGTTATTATTGAAATTAATTTTTTATTTTATTCTCTCTGTTTTTTTTTTCCCTCTCCGTTCTCTCTTGGGAATTTTGTTGATCTTGTAAATGTGCTTCCCTCACACATTACGTAGAACAGCACAATGTACTCAGTACTCAGCAACAATTTAATAACAATTAGCCATATGTATTAGTATTCAAAGTGGACATCCTTAATTTCAAAAGTCACATAAGAGCCTCTGTCGGCCACTAAAAAACCATCAAATATTACCATTTAACGTCACCACCATTCCATTAGTAAATACCATTTTTTTTCTCTGTTGTTCCAAAACTAAAGAGAAAGAAAATGGCTACCCTAGTTTCTCAGGGGCAAATTTTCCTCTCTTGTTATGCATTAATGCTTGTAGTATTAGGCGCTCTGTTATTTCTGATATTATACCAAATTGTGAAGATGCTGCTGCTTCTTAAGTATCGTAACCAAGAATCTACAGCTAATATTCCCCCAGGCTCTACAGGCTTACCATTCGTTGGAGAAACTCTGCAGTTCATGGCAGCCATCAATAGTCACAAGGGGTTTTACGACTTTGTTCGAATTCGCCGTTTGCGGTAAAAAAATTTTCTTTTCTTATAATAACTTCAGATCACCCTAAGATATATAAATATACATTATAGAGAAAAAAGCTCAAAATTTTGCTCTAACATGGGGATTTATGTTATGTTATTCGAACAATTAGAGGATGTTTGTTAGTATTCTAAATCATGATTCATAATCATAGTTCTCTATAGTGTTTTTTTTTTCACAAAAATATACGTAAAACGAAAATAATTTTGAATTATAGTTCTGAATCTATGAATCAAACGTCTACTAAGTTACTTATCTGAAAATGTAAACTAAAGAATGAATATTTTCGAGTGGTGTGTGACAGGTACGGGAATTGCTTTAGGACCAACATATTTGGAGAGACACATGTATTTGTTTCGAGTACAGAATCAGCAAAAGCAATTTTGAACAATGACTCCGGTAAGTTCACAAAGAGATATATAAAGTCCATCGCCGAGTTGGTTGGTCATCAAAGCCTTTTATGTGCTTCTCACCAACACCATAAACTAATACGAGGCCGTCTCAGCAATTTGTTCTCCATGACCTCTTTATCTTTGTTCATCAAGCAGTTTGATCAACTAATCGTTGATAATCTTAGCAGCTGGGAACATAAAGCCACCGTGGTTGTTCTCGATGAAGCACTCAAGGTACAACAAAGAAATTCTACGCAATTTAATTTAGGGTGATCTAAACGTATAGCAACATTTGACTATCAAAGTTTATATTTAGACAAAATTTATAAATACCGCTAGCAAAATTTTGTATCATTAAAAAATATGATATCATCGTCGTAATTAGTTTATTATTATTTTTGTTATGTTTGTAATATTTTAAAATTTTCGCTGAATTTCAACTCAAAAGTATGAAATCATTGTGTTCTCTTTAATTTACTGTCGCTACTGTGGTTTTGATGTCGTTTTGTCAATATGTAGTCCCATTCTTGACTAATGTTTGGGCCAACTTATAGAATTGGGCCTCTGCTCAGCTCATGGTGGCAAACACAAAGGTGTAAATTAGGACCGGTCTATAAAAGTACTATATTCGAATATCAAATCTGTAAAAGTAATATTCATCTAATTTTCCAGCAAACGCAATAATGGTGAAAATTAGGACCAGGACTACTTATGAAATTCAGTTTTCACATATACTACTATACTGCTTTTATGCGTAAATCAAGCTCAAATCTTTAAGTAAAAGTCATTTATCTAAATAACAACTATCTAAAAGTGTATTTCTCTAATTCAACCCAAACACGCGTTTTGTTTTCTTTGTAGTACAAAAAAAAGATAGTACTTGTAAAAAATTAGAGAAATTTTTTAGGGTAAAGAGTCCAAGCACTCGTTAATTTTTAGTTGGTTACATTAATGTTGTCGTACGTTGCAGATCACTTGTAAAGCAATGTGCAAAATGTTAATGAACATAGAAAGCGGTTATAAGTTAGAAATTTTGCAAAAGGAAGTGGCTCGTGTGTGTGAAGCATTGCTTGCATTCCCACTGAGAATACCTGGGACCAGATTTTACAAAGGCCTTCAGGTAAAATTTCTCATCTATATGCATTAAGCTTGTCATCTTAAGCCCCAATTAAAGAAAAACACTTGATTAATTACACTTTAAACCGTGTTAATACATGATTCAGGCGAGAAAAAGAATAATGAGCATAATTGAGGAGGAAATTAGTGACAGGAGAAGAGGCTTGGGAACTAATCAGCATGAGGATTTTCTAGGAAGCCTATTGGCAGGTGATGATAAAGCATGTTATGAGGCTGGACCCAACAGGCAAAAGCTATTAGATTCAGAGATCCAAGACAATATCTTAACTATGATAATTGCAGGTCAGAATTAAAAGAGAGAATTAGTGAATTGGTTTTTGAGTAATTAAGTACAGGAGATATCAAATTTAATAATTTTGTCATGTTGTTAATTTTACGTGGGGAATAATAATGTGCAGGTCAAGATACAACGGCTAGTGCAGTAACGTGGATGGTCAAATACTTGGATGACAACCAAGAGGTCCTTCACACACTAAGGGTACGTAATTCATAATAACAACGTGAAACGATAAAATTAGTATTTGGAATTACCTAGTTTGGTCAATCAAATCATGTTAATAATATGTTAATGCAAATCCCTTAATTAATTTGTTATAGGATGAACAACTTCAACTAGCAAGAAAATCACCAGAAAAGACATTTCTCACATTGGAAGATCTAAACGACATGCCGTATGCTTCCAAGGTGATGTTTCTTTTTTTATACGGACAGTTAATTTATTCTTGAGCTCATTATTAACGATCAATGGGTGGCATCAAACAGGTAGTAAAAGAATCCTTAAGGATGGCATCTATTGTACCGTGGTTTCCCAGGCTAGCTCTTCATGACTGTGAGATAGAGCGTTAGTTTTCTAACGATTTTGTATAAGAAGATTTCTTTTAAAGCATTAATTTAACTAATGTACCAATTCTTCCCTTTACACACTGTCATTTTTTGTTTTTTGTTTTTTTAATTTTGTAGGATTTAAGATAAAAAAAGGATGGAATGTTAACATTGATGCGAGAGCAGTTCACCTCAATCCTACGATGTATAATGATCCAAAAAAATTCAACCCTTCAAGATTTGGGGTAAATTTCTTCACTTTTTTTTTTTATATATAATATTTGGTAATTAAAGTTTGGAATTCACCCTTTTCCTTTAAGCAAACTTTTTGATCCATTAGGGGGTTAATTATTTTACATAATTAATCAGGATGCAGAATCAAGACCTTATAGCTTCTTAGCTTTTGGGATGGGAGGGAGGACATGCCTCGGAATAAACATGGCCAAAGCCATGATGCTTGTCTTTCTACACCGCCTTGTCACTACCTATAGGTACATTATCTTTCTCTAATTATTATTTTGTATCCTTGAAATTTCGAATTACTACTTCTTCAAGTAAGGAGCAGTTTGAAGCCAAACTTCTCAAATTTTGAGAATATAGTGTTCCTTTGAAGAAAAGGAAAATATAATATTTCAACAACCCGTCATGAATTACAACTGATCATGTTGTTTCTTCAGCGTTGTCAACGCATTTGTTAAGATGTCAAATTTAAATTTTGAGAGTATTCCGAAGTAGATTTTATTGCAAATCAAGATTCCCTTAGTTAGTGGTAGTACTGTGTGCAGGAAACCTTAGTACAAACGAGTATGACACGTGTAAATATATATATATATATATAATTCATATAATTTTGAACTTTCTAGCAAAGTTATATAATTTTTAATGTTGCCTTCAAATATATGTGTGTGTATAAAATAAATTTTGAACGTCTAATAATGGTCGTCCCTGAAGATTTTAACGCCACCAATGTAAGGCTTTTTTATTTTTTATTTTTAAAATGTATTCAGGTGGAAAGTTATAGACCAAGACTCAAGCATTGAGAAGTGGGCAATGTTTTCAAGACTAAAAAGTGGATGTCCAGTGATCGTGAAACGGGTCGTGTATGACGATGATGGATACTAGTGTTATATATATTGAATTAAGAATATAAATTCGTAGTCTGTGTTCTTATATTATTGGGCAGCTTCATTAGTTGAAATTAGATACATGGATTTTTACATATTTCTTACTTCTTAGTGGTACTATGATGTAATGTGTCTTTGTCAAAAAAAAAAAAAAAAAAAAGCCCATGTTTATGACATGCATGTGTAATACCAAGTCTTAATAAATGAGGAAAAATAAGTCATGATCTAATAATATAAAATTAGTGGAAATATTATAAAATATGCCATGAAAAGCTTAAGAAAGTATATGGGCCAATTTTTAGTTATACAAATTAATATACCATAACTTGTCAAGTTATGGTTCATAACCAGATAAGTTATGGACAAACTTGTCAAGTTATTGTTCATAGGCAGACAAGTTATGGAAAAAAAAAACCGTGAATTATGAAGTTATGGTTCATAACTAGACAAGTTATGGACAAAAACAGTAATTTGGCCTATTTATTAACTTATATAAACTATTGGTCTATTAATTTTAATTCATCTTAAGTCTTGGTATATTTTCCTCTTTCTCCCTAAAATTAGCTCAACAGCCTTTACATAAGTTACTTGATTATGTTATATTTATAAATTACACACACAGAGAGACACGGATATGCCGTTAGAAATTCTAAGTAAAAGAACTAAAAATTGGAAAATAAAAATTCATAATCGTGAAAGCTTATGTTGACGGTGGAATTTCGTCAACAGAAATACACATAATTACCGTCTAGTAGTCGGTTAGATTACCGATTAAATCGCATCTAAATAGCTATTCTATATCCGATTAAATTCAGTTAATAAAGTGCAATTGTTTGTGCATGTGCTTTACGGATTTTTCAAAATATGAAAGAAAATCAAAGAAACGATAAGAACATTAAGGATTATCGTGGTTCACTCTCAATGCAAAAGCTACGTCCACTTTGAGAAATTTCCATCTTTCTTCCTTCTTTTCCTCTCTCCTGATACAAGAAGTTCGGTTCTTTCTTATGCTCATACCAGTCTATCCCCTTCTCTCTTGGGCCATGCCCCTTTCACGTCTCACAAATTACATATTGGAGAAATCCGAGGCGAATAGTTTCTCTTCTGTTGCTCTCCAGTAGCCTATTGTCCTACTCATCTAGACTGCGGCTATATAGTGTTTTTCTGACCGTTCATCTACCAATTCTGCCCAAAATAGCGGCTCTGTAACTTCCCGTGTTTTCCTATTAGTCTATTTTGGACAGCCAATAGGCTGGTAATCATTTCTCCAGCCAATGGCTTTGTTTATACCCGCAAGTAACCTGAGGATTTCTCTTTTGTCACCTCAGGGGGTCTTCTCAGAATCTAGGTCTGGTAATTGATCATATGTGGCACTCTCTGTTTTCACTTTGCTTGGATAGCAAGTCTAGACGGAGCCTTCGTCGTCATTGATCCTCGCATAGGCATGACGGCCTACGGGGTTTTAGGAGCCATCTTCGCCGATGGCTTGTACATGCGAGATTACATTCTCCTTGTGCCTCCTCAGAACCACTGACTATGCAGCCGGTCCCTTCAGGGTAGGGTCAATCGTCTTTGCCATTTGAACAGTCAACTGTCGTCGTGGGCGCTGCACATTACAAGCTTGTTGTTCCTAAGTGTTTCTTCAAGGATTATCTCGAAGTAATGCGGGGCAATCAGAGTCTCTCTCATTACAAGATGCACGAGTCTTTGAAACAGTTGAACCTCAATCAACCAGAAAGTTGATGCTTCGACTGTCAGTGCCTATTTATTGTTTGGCGTGGCAGGCAGTGGCCACGTGGAGCCTATCTATCGTTTGACGTGACAACGTAGGTATTTTCCTATAACAGCTGCCCCCAGGTCGAGGCTTTCACTGGCCGTTGGATGAAATCATTGCTAATCCAATGACAGAGACAAAGGGATGCGAACGAACGGTGAGAGCAAGGGTGGGAATTCGAGAAGGCACGATCCAACGGTTCAGATACAACCGTTTGAAATGGAGACGCGACACCCGGCAGACACGAATTAAATGATGCGACTGTTGCCATACTCGGGGAAATAACTTTTGCAGACGCCATCATTGCCTAAAACCCTAGGGAAAAAGATCCTTCTCAAGGAAGCTAACTTAGAGATAAAATAGAAGTCTCATCAATAAGCTTGAGGCATCCCAAAGGAATGCCTTGATCTGGGGGACAAATGTTGTAAGGAAAAATCCCACATTCCACGTCAAGCACTAGATGAACGCCACGTGGCATGATTGGTGGATGAGAGGCCACGACAGCTCAGCATAGAGTATTTGCAAAATGAAACTCGGTAGAGGCCGACTGCAAGATAACGCAGGAAGTCGACCGTACAGAAAAGCAAGAGAGGCTAGGTGTCGACCATACAGAGGCATCAGGCAGACAAGAGGTCGGCCACTTCAGGAAAATGTAGGCAAAGACAGCATGATAGGTGCCTGAGGAGCCGATTACACACAACCTGAGGAAGAAACTAAATCTGCAGGATATCTTACGTGACTTGTAAGCAAGTAAAGTTGGCAAGGGAGCAGGGGAAAGATCACTGTTGACTGGCAGACACTCCACCACCAACGGCTACATTCAAAATATGAGATGATATGACATAAAGTAATAATGAAATGTAATGGTGGAAATGACAAAGGTTGAGAGGAAGTGAGCTAGTATATAGATGTAGAAATGGTGAGCTGAAAGGCTCACAACTCTTTAAGAAAGACCTGTATTCCGAGTTCACAGTGAAGATTTTTCCCTCCTCATAGTGAAAGTAGCTCTTATGTAGAAATGGTGAGCCGAAAGGCTCACAACTCTTTAAGAAAGACCTGTATTCCGAGTTCATAGTGAAGATTTTTCCCTCTCACAGTGAAAGTAGCTCTTGAATTTTAAGGGTGAACCAGTATAAAATTCTTGTGTAAATTTTCTCTTAATTTTCTTTATTCACGTTTTAATCTGTTTAATCCACACATTAACCACCGAAAATCTATTATTAATCCGTTGACGAATTTTCACCGTCGACAGCTGGGTCTCTTATCTAAATTATTTGGAGAAACCAACACACCATCTTAATCAAAGATTGAAGAACCATAGCTAAAACTTAAATAATTTTTTGTTGTCAACTGCTATGTATACGTGTGTGTGTATAATATCTGTTCTACGTACATGAATGCTACACTATAACGGATATGATCATAATATACTTCAAACTTTTATATACAAAAACCGGTGATTATTGTTGGCGGTGATTTTTTTGCAATTATATTGAAATATGAAATTAGAATAAAAGTTAATGGTAATGCCCAGTATCATTCATGACAGAGAACACTCACCAAACTGGTTTTTAGTGTCAGAATGATATGAACCAAAAAAACCCAGTTGCTCTGAGCTTCCATAAGTTACAACTTACAGATGGATAGAAGGAACACCAACCTAAGGGAAAACGACAAGGCACCAAACAATTGAGCCCTCAGAATTCATAGAATTTGTCTTCCATTTTGGGTTTATATATAAATAATATGGCTTCGGTTGCTTGAGTAACTCTTGGTAGTGGGCATGTACACAAATAAACTAAAACGACAATATTTTACCGAAAAAACTAAAACGACAATATATATGGATAAGACCTTTCCCAATTATAGATTCGGTAGATATTCTGTGCCGTACAGCTGGCCTTTCCATAAGTACCAAGTTTTGCAATGCATGTCCCCTTTATCCTTTTTAAAGAAAAACTCTCTGTCTTGATCCCATTTCCATAATTGGCTAATTGCCAATTGCCGTGTCCCCTTTATCAAATTCTTCAACGACACCAAAAATGAGAAGAATAGGTGAGAACTCACCTCATGCCTTGTGGGCCATATTATATGAACAGTTTTTGTGGACATATATAAAACGATTTATGATTGAATTGTTTCTTTTATCCATAGCAGTACTGAACAAATTAATAATTGAGTTGGCATGGCATAACTTAATTATAAGATATGAGTACGTGACAAATAATTGCTTCTAATTATTCTTTTCTTTGTGATTCCCTCATACCTTTTTCCCTAGAGCTTCATGTATACCAAATGACATAAGAGAGCTTCAGTTGGTTATTCATTACTTCAACTTTGTGAGGGCATCATGATTTGATCGCAACTCTTGGACCCAATATACCAAGTGATTTTTTTTCTTAACATTTTAATTTTTAACGGACAAGATCCGGCCACACCTGTGAAAATGCATAATATACTTGAATGAATTATGGTTTTTTTCCTTATTGTTGTCACAAAAGAAAGGAACTTATACTTTTATTTTTTTATTTTTTTATTTTTGAGAATGAACTTATACATTATTGAACTGGCCAGGAAATAGATGAAAATTATTGAGTATTAGATTTTCTAAAAATGAAAAGCGGAAAATATTTATGATATAAAGTACTAGGGAGTAAATATATTAGTTTGCTTGAAACAATTTTTTTTTTTTTTTTTTTTTTTTTTTTTTTTTTTAAAAATTTAAAACATTTTTTTATAATAATTTTTTTAAAAAAAAATTTTTGGTTTTTGCTTGAAAAGCTTGAAACTACTTTTTAATAACAAGGAAAAATTGTTAAGAAAAACGAAATGAAGATTATACAATGACTCTTTCTTGGAAGTGTGTTAAAAGGAAATACACATGTGAGGCCGTGGAGCCCACCATATTTATCCACTATATGTTCCACCTTAAAGGGTCCACCATGCACGGTGGGAGTCAAACTTTGAGTTTATGATTCATATTTTTTACGTACTATTTGTTCTTCTTTATTTTTGCTACGGCGTTTGGCACACTATAAAATACACACTGCTGCCTAATAGTGACAATTTCTTGGATTTCATTATGTCTTTACTCATATAAAATCTTCAATTATTAGTACTTTTAAATGTTGAATAATAAATATTGGAAGCTCTTCTAACAATTCACTATCTGCTTCACTATCACAATGTCGGAGACCTTTTTGGTGTTCAGCGGCTCCTAAAAT